ACAACTAGTGTTTGATGTTCTATCGTAATCCTCCAAGTCCTGGTTTGACCAACGTACAACTAGTGTTTGATATTCTATCGTAATCCCCCAAAACCAGGTTTGACCAATGTACAACTAGTGTTTGATGTTCTATCGTAATCCCCCCAGTCCTGGTTTGACCAACGTACAACAAGTGTTTGATGTTCTATTGTAATCCCCCCAGTCCTGGTTTGACCAACGTACAACAAGTGTTTGATGTTCTATCGTAATCCCCCCAGTCCTGGTTTGACCAACGTACAACAAGTGTTTGATGTTCTATCGTAATCCCCCCAGTCCTGGTTTGACCAACGTACAACTAGTGTTTGATGTTCTATCGTAATCCCCCCAGTCCTGGTTTGACCAATGTACAACAAGTGTTTGATGTTCTATCGTAATCCCCCCAGTCCTGGTTTGACCAACGTACAACTAGTGTTTGATGTTCTATCGTAATCCCCCCAGTCCTGGTTTGACCAATGTACAACTAGTGTTTGATGTTCTATCGTAATCCCCCCAGTCCTGGTTTGACCAACGTACAACTAGTGTTTGATGTTCTATCGTAATCCCCCCAGTCCAGGTTTGACCAACGTACAACTAGTGTTTGATGTTCTATCGTAATCCCCCCAGTCCTGGTTTGACCAACGTACTACTAGTGTTTGATGTTCTATCGTAATCCTCCAAGTCCAGGTTTGACCAACGTACAACTAGTGTTTGATGTTCTATCGTAATCCCCCCAGTCCTGGTTTGACCAACGTACAACTAGTGTTTGATGTTCTATCGTAATCCCACCAGTCCAGGTTTGACCAACGTACAACTAGTGTTTGATGTTCTATTGTAATCCTCCAAGTCCAGGTTTGACCAACGTACAACAAGTGTTTGATGTTCTATCGTAATCCCCCCAGTCCTGGTTTGACCAACGTACAACTAGTGTTTGATGTTCTATCGTAATCCCACCAGTCCAGGTTTGACCAACGTACAACTAGTGTTTGATGTTCTATTGTAATCCTCCAAGTCCAGGTTTGACCAACGTACAACAAGTGTTTGATGTTCTATCATAATCCCCCAAGTCCAGGTTTGACCAACGTACAACTAGTGTTTGATGTTCTATCGTAATCCTCCAAGTCCAGGTTTGACCAACGTACAACTAGTGTTTGATGTTCTATCATAATCCTCCAAGTCCAGGTTTGACCAACGTACAACTAGTGTTTGATGTTCTATCATAATCCCCCCAGTCCTGGTTTGACCAACGTACAACTAGTGTTTGATATTCTATTGTAATCCCCCCAAACCAGGTTTGACCAATGTACAACAAGTGTTTGATGTTCTATTGTAATCCTCCAAGTCAAGGTTTGACCAACGTACAACTAGTGTTTGACGTTCTATCGTAATCCTCCAAGTCCAGGTTTGACCAACGTACAACAAGTGTTTGATGTTCTATCATAATCCCCCAAGTCCAGGTTTGACCAACGTACTACTAGTGTTTGATGTTCTATCGTAATCCTCCAAGTCCAGGTTTGACCAACGTACAACTAGTGTTTGATGTTCTATCGTAATCCCCCAAGTCCAGGTTTGACCAACGTACTACTAGTGTTTGATGTTCTATCGTAATCCTCCAAGTCCAGGTTTGACCAACGTACAACTAGTGTTTGATGTTCTATCGTAATCCTCCAAGTCCAGGTTTGACCAACGTACAACTAGTGTTTGATGTTCTATCGTAATCCTCCAAGTCCTGGTTTGACCAACGTACAACTAGTGTTTGATATTCTATCGTAATCCCCCAAAACCAGGTTTGACCAATGTACAACAAGCGTTTGATGTTCTATCGTAATCCTCCAAGTCCAGGTTTGACCAACGTACAACTAGTGTTTGATGTTCTATCGTAATCCCCCAAGTCCAGGTTTGACCAACGTACAACTAGTGTTTGATGTTCTATTGTAATCCCCCAAGTCCAGGTTTGACCAACGTACAACTACCGTATTTTCTTGAGTATAGTGCGCACCCATAACTCGTAAACTAAGCCGGACACAGCAATCAGCTGTACACACGTTTTCTTGGAATCTACCGGTGATTCAGTCAAGACACACCCAATGATATAACTTTACAGTATTTTTAATGCAAGGATCGGCAAAAATTGTATCTGAAACTTTTTTTTTATCAGGAATAATATATTCCAATATCTTGTTAATTTAGTTGCAGCTTTTACTAAACATATTTAAAATAATAATAACCCTAAGCGAAGCAGCTGATCGCTATTGCCGGCTATAATTTTTTACATGGAACCAGTCTGACCATTCACCGTCAAGGCTCCCGTGCACGTGCTCGCGAGAATTACGTGTTGACATAGAATCGTCCAACAAAAACAAACGATTCAAAGTATGGCATTTATGATATATGTATCCATTCTTTGTCAACTTAAGTTCGTTTCAAGGCGTCAATAGCGGTAATCTGACCTCGGTTGCTGTTAATAACGGTGAGTTCTGCGATCTTCCGATCACTTCACACACAATTTCGCCGAAATTAATTAAAACAATATTAAAAGGAATTTTGAATAAAATTAATGAAATAAGTTACAAACATAAGTCCAGATATAAAAAGAACACTTTTTATAGCCAGACAGTGTAATTACATGAATAATTTGCGTACTTCAGTATGGATTTGTTGACATGGTATTTCCGGTGTTACGTGCTCACGGTAATGTCTTTCCATGGGGGGAAAAACATCAAAACTCATAATACGTGTATAATGCTACACAGCTGTGTTTTTTGGAAAAAAAGTGTGCACTATACTCAAGAAAATACGGTAGTGTTTGATGTTCTATTGTAATCCCCCAAGTCCTGGTTTGACCAACGTACAACTAGCGTTTGATGTTCTATCGTAATCTGGTGCATGTTAAATAAAGTTCCTTAATTCGAGCTCTGTAAAGAGAAGAGAGAAATTGCACTCACTCACTCACTCACTCACTCACTCACTCACTCACTCACTCACATTTTCCAGTCTCAAATAGGTAATTAACACTGTACAGAAACACAGGAATTCTTCCTTTTTTTACCCCAGCTAAAGGTACCAGGGTGCCATTGTACAAAACAACCTTAGCACTGCGACTGCTGTAAGTCTATGTTAACATAGCTTTGTATAACGGCACCGTGGTTTATTGTTAGATTTTTCCTCATGTGTTCCATAGTAGGATGTGCATAGAAAGCTATGTTACAACAGCTTGCAGCCATTGATCAGGGGATTCCAGGAGCAGTCCGAAACTCCTGTTTGATGTCTCGTCAGCACCTGCAGCAAAGGGGAGAACAAGATCATTAGCACATCATTATGTCATCAGTCAATAACACTACACAAATCGGCAGGGATTATGGACATACCTTTTTTTAAAACCTTTTCAGAGACTGTTTATTCTCATTTCTATGGACAAATTACATTTCAATGCATTTGAGGTGGTGGAATGGGGTTTAACGTCGCGTCCAAGATTATACCACTTCCATAGGAATGTGCATGCACATGTTTATGTTTGGCTGCTTGTACTGGTCCAGACTAATGCTGGTTTTATACTGCCAGCCCATTGAGATACAATGTCGCAGTTTAACATGAATACCCCACCGAGACACAGTATACTGACTCCGAGACGACCAGTCCTTGTTTTTGCCTACTTAGATACCATGCTGCAGTTTAACATGAATAAATAGAGTAATTAAGTTTTGGTTTTTGATTTGGTCTGGTTTGTTGTTTAGCGCCGCACTCAGTAATATTCAAGCTATATGACGGCGGTCTATAAATAATCGAGCCTGGACCAGACAATCCAGTGATTGATATCATGAACATCGATCCACACAATTGGGATCGATGACCACCCGATCCCGTTAGTCGCCTCTTACGACAAGCATTGTTGTAAGTAAGTAAGTAAGTAAGCATGGTAAGTACACCAAACACAAGACATTCTTCAGTGTTGCAGCATGGCGCTAAGAGATATGTTCAGGCATTAATTGAATATATACTGACACATTGAGAACACATGATCAACTGTAACTTCAAAAGATATGTTTTTGTGCTCGTCCGTCTCCAAACATTGAATGAGATTTGAACCTGTAGAACAAGATTGTTGTGTTTGATTATCTTGTGCCTAAATACACAGAACAACTTAATATGATTCTAGTGACCATTTTGCCAAATCTTTAAAAAAATTGAATATGCATTTTCAAATTGTTATTTATATATATATTGAGCAAAAATGATGAAGTTCAGTTTTTTATTTATTTCTTGATTGATGTTTGCATAGTCTTCTTTTTTATTCATTGATACGTCGATACTATATCTTGCTATGGGCATTTCACCAGAAACTGGTGCAACCATTCTCTATGTAGCATCGTGTCCCTTGTATTCCAGGTTTAGATAGTCATGAGTTCAAATCATAAGATTTTCCGGGGACACGGGTGGCCCAGTCGTCTAAGGCGCTGTGATTCGCTGTCCAGAGTTGCGTCCCTTGGGCACGCCAGAAACCTATGATTGTGGGTTCGAATCCCGGTTCGTCCCAATTATGTTTCTAGGTTTGTCAGCACCATACCCGTGCCCATGGGTTTCACCGAAGTGGTAAACGTCTGAGACCTGCATTACTTCGGGCTTAGCTCCCACATTAAGCTGCTGTAATACTGTTAAAAGTAGCGTTAAACCAAACTCACTCACTCACTCACTCTTAAGATTTTCCCTGTTAATAATCCTTGTTTCTCAGCGCAATGTTCGTGCTTGTGGATTTTACCAACATGGCAAACATAATTGCTCTGCATCACTTCGGGCCTACCTCCAAGATTGGGTGACAAGCCGTGTTGGGACTGAAATACTGGCGGCTTCGAGATTAACATTATTGAAGCTGCCAATTCACCTGGTACTGATGTGTAGACCAGTATCCATTAATGCTCCTGGGGCCCAGGTGGCTGAGTGGTCTAAGGTGCTGCGATCCTGGAGTTGGTGGTCACGTGACAAAGTGTATGCTAGAGGACCAATTTGCTGCTGTCAAACTCACTGACAGGTATGTCATGGTGACATCTCGATGACTATACCAAGTCTACATTCCCTGATCACCAGCTGGTTACTGGCTTAAGTGGTGTGTAGATGGGCTGTGATGTCTCCAGCCAAGTCTTCCTGGGTCTGCTGCAGAATAGAGGCCATTTTGTAACCTTAGCGGTCTGTGTCCCGCTATATGGATATTGGCTGTGTGGAGTTATGTCCCTTAGCTTAAATTGTTTAAAACTTCAAAACTGATCATTGGTTTGCAAAAGTAATTAATGATTGATTAAAAATCATGCATCAGAATTTTCTGTTTCTTTGTAAAGAATAATAATTATAGCAGCAAAACTATGAAATGATATTTTAGGATGTCATAAAGTCATCAACTAATATCATAATATAGACGAGTTGTTCAGTCCCGACCTTAATATTTCGACAAAAAATGGAAATGATATAATTAAAAGCCATTTGCCCTTTCATTAATTTTAGGTCAGGCTACTATAAGTATTAAGGCAGGCAGGGATTTATCTAGATCCCTAGAGCCCCCCCCCCCCACAGATATTCAGCCCCAGGTCTGCAGCAAATGTCAGCCAGAATTCCCAAGATGGTATTACAATGTTGTTCCATTCCATGTTGGTATAGTTCTATCTAAAGTGATGGCTTTGTTGGGTTTCACTGATTTCACTGATAGTGGAACGAGGAAGAGGCTTCATTGTTTATTTTTGCATTATTGAATTTAATGTAAATATACAGTGTTAAACTACCTTTGAAGTTTCAGAAAAGAGGAACTTGTAAGAACTCCTAATTTTGAACAAAATAACAATTTTTCCTCTATAAGCTTGCCAAAGGCTCTTAGTTTGAAATCTTAGATAAATCCCCAGCATATTAGGTAGGAAAAAGACAAATCAGAATTGCATTTCAGATGTATTGTTTTATTCATCAAATATTAACAATGTTACTAATACTACATGTGCAGTGTTTGATAAGGTCTCGTTGGTCTTGCTTTTCAAATGTACATTTTGAGCACATTTGCATTTTAAATGTATGTTTTGAACACATTTGCTTTTAAAATGTACATTTTGAGCACATTTGCAGTTTAAATGTGCATTTTGAGCACATCTGTAGTTAAAATGTACATTTTGAGCACATCTGTAGTTTAGATGTACATTTTGAGCACATTTGCAGTTTAAATTTACATTTTGAGCACATTTGCAGTTTAAATTTACATTTTGAGCACATTTGCAGTTTAAATGTTCATTTTGAGAACATTTGCAGTTTAAATTTACATATTGAGCACATTTGCAGTTTAAATGTACAATTTGAGCACATTTGCAGTTTAAATGTACATTTTGAGAACATTTGCAGTTAAAATTTACATTTTGAGCACATTTGGTTTTGTGTTAACATTGCATTTAGCAGACTGAAACAACTCATGCTTCTCTATTTTTACTCTTTTGTGTTTTTTGGTTGACTGTTGGCAGATCACTTAATAAATTTAAACAAAAGAATTGCCTCATGTTTGCGTCTGCATAGCATGACGTTAAAATCGCCACTTCATCCAAAACATGATTTGTCATAATTGGTTGAGATTAAAAAACATGGTCATAAACCTGTTTGAAGCCGCATGACACGATTTAATGATCGGTGATTAGAAAGTCAGCTTCATTCTGTTTCTATTGAGACGGCCATTAGATGACACATACGTGGGAAATGTGTCCCTGCCATGGGTCATTGTTGTTGTTATGGCGACATTTCCTTCCAAATAAGGAATTCTCCACTTATCCTTCCTGTTCTTCTTTGATAAGGATAAATCTATACATAGTTGTATGCTTATGCTCATTGTTATGTTTATTCTGGTTTTAGCGTCTGTGTGATGCCTCCACTAAACATCAGAAATAGCGCGCTTATGTTGTGTTACAAATGTCGTGATAAGCATGATGATCGCCACATACACATTTTGTTATCAGTAAAATAATAATTACCGTATTCGACCTAATAAGTGCTCCGCTCTAATAAGCGCCAACAGCGATATTTGCTAATATATTGGCTGGTGAACAATCCCAATTACCACCCCTTCCGATTGATCAATGTTCAGACGACTTATTTATTTGTGTATGATACACACTCAGGTGTTATATGTAACCTTAATTATGGGCAATTAAATTCTGGAAAAATGTATCTGTCATACATGAACACGAGATGTATCTTTCAACTCTTTTTTTTTCCCACCAAAATAATATTTTAATAAGAGCCCCCTATTTCTAATTTTTAGAGCGCCCTGGGCGCTTATTACGTCGAATACGGTACTTAAAATTACTCAATCAGTGTCCGAAATAACTGCCTGCCTGCTTGCCCGTGTCTGGTAACTTATCTGTCGGGCTGCATGAAATTTTCCTCTACCTGCCCAACTGACTGGCAGATAATTTTAAGACTGCTTACGGTTTCAATTTCATTCAGATTTATTATAGGCATCATCTGGTCTGTTTGTCCATCTGTATTTCATATCTGGAGTATACCTGTGAAAACTGTGAAAGATTTTTCATCCCAACTGTGTACATGTATTAACCAGGGGCTTAAGTGCTGCCTTTTGCTATTGTGGGGGCCGGGGGCTTTCTCATCTTCTGTTGACTCTTGCCATTCTCACGTAGTTGTTTGCATTATTTCAACTGAATCAAGACACGTTTTTTCTATAATTTTTTGTGTGATTTTTCAATATGTATCATTTCTGAATGCAGACAGGTAACTTTGAAGATGGGCAGGCAACACTTATGGGTCACTTGCCTACTGTCTTGTTTGGGAGGCGGTTGGGTAGCCTTGAGGTTAAAGCGTTCGCTTGTCACGCCGAAGACCCAGGTTCGATTCCCGACATGGGTACTATGTGTGAAGCCCATTTCTTGTGTCCCCTGCCGTGATATTGCTGGAATATTGCTAAAAGCGGCGTAAAACCATATTCACTCACTCACGTCTTGTTTGGTGTTCAAATTATTTAAAAAACTACTCAATTTAATTGATCAAGCTGGTTATTGTTGGCTTTAGTGTGAAGTAGGTTGGGATTTGATTCATATGGAATTAGGACACATTAAGCACTGGGTGGTGGGACATGGGCCGTAAACACTTGGTATGTGAAACCCTTGCTGGGGATAACCATGGTTAACAGTGGGCCTACTTACTTAAGGACCCGTGAAGGTCTCAGTAAGAGTTAGGGGCGGTCGGGTAGCCTAGTGGTTAAAGCGTTCGCTCGTCACGCCGAAGACCCGGGTTCGAATCCCGACATAGGTACAATGTGTGAAGCCCATTTGTGGTGTCCCCCGCCGTGATATTGCTGGAATATTGCTAAAAGCGGCGCAAAACCAAACTCACTCACTCACTCACTCAGTAAGAGTTGGTCTTCAGCAACCCATGCTCGTCGCTAGAGGTGACTAACAGGATCGGGTGGTCAGGCTCTCAGATTTGGTTGATGCATGTCATCGATCCCAATTGTGTGGATCAATGCCCATGATATTGTCTCATGTGTGGCATTAAACAACTAACAAATGATCTTACTAAAGAACCTCTATGAGGGAATGGACAGGGATTCTATGTAACACATGTTCAATCTGGGATTACTCTTTCTTTGTAAAGTTTTAATTTTAGTACTTTTTGTAGGTCTTGGACTTGGTGGGTGAGTGGGTATTTTGTGCTGGTGATTCGGTGTTAAGTCTGAAAAGTATGGGTTTGAATCTTGGATTAGGCTTCACCCCAAAAAGTACAAGAACGTGTACTGTACTAAGAGAGTTTACTATAAAACATTTATTACATTTGACCCCTTTCTTTTCAAGGCCATACAAGTCTGTACAAGCTAAGGAACCCCCATGGGGGATACGTATAGGATCGAGTTGACCTACTTGCTAAAGAACCCCCCCATGGGGGATACGAGTAGGATGATGGGGGATACGAGTGGGATGGAGGGGACCAACTTACTTAGGCACCGACCATTTGATATTCTGGGGGACCTCGGATTTTGTATCGAGAACCAGATATTTTGTTTTTTAAAACTGAGCCTGCAACGATGTAATTTTTGTGGCAGGCAATTTTATTTATTTTCATCAGTCTGAAGCATAATTTATTTTTTTTCGATTAAATCAGATTATGTTTCGATTGAGGTTCAGGGAGTCTGAGTATGATTCCATGGAAGCAGGTTTGCCAGTTGAATGGCCTGACTATCAAGGAAAGTAGTCAGTGTCTGTATTATATGGTGATCCAAATAAGCTAATACTGCATAGCACCTACACTTGTCCCAATCATTCCTGACACAAAGAGAGAATGATACTTCAGTGGATATTGGAACAAGTCAGGAAAAAAATTCGACATAGTGGCTGGAATCTCCTTATTTTGACTTTACTAGCTTCAACAAATTAGTATAATTGGATCTGCGGTTGGGTCATTTCACCATGGTGGTAATGACGACATTATCTGCGAGATAGGATCAGCTGATTGGACCCCAACTACCGCCTGTTAACCCATTATGCGGGGTATTACACGCGTCTCTCACACAACTAGTGCAGTGGATCTGTTGAGTTAGCAGTCAATGCTGATGGCTCTGTCTCATCTCCCTGGATACAGCATTCCATTTGTGTACGAGGGCTGACTATAGGGACTATTTCACTATAGCAATTGTATTGCAATAGTACCCCAGATAGGACAACCCAGATCTCCACCACGCAGATCTCCACCACCCAGATCTCCACCACCCAGATCTCCACCACCCAGATTTACCCAGATCTCCACCACCCAGATCTACCAAGATCTACCAAGATCTCCACCACCCAGATCTCCACCACCCAGATCTCCACCACCCAGATCTACCAAGATCTCCACCACCCAGATCTACCAAGATCTACCAAGATCTCCACCACCCAGATCTCCACCACCCAGATCTCCACCACCCAGATCTACCAAGATCTCCACCACCCAGATCTACCAAGATCTACCAAGATCTCCACCACCCAGATCTCCACCACCCAGATCTCCACCACCCAGATTTACCCAGATCTCCACCACCCAGATCTACCAAGATCTCCACCACCCAGATCTCCACCACCCAGATCTCCACCACCCAGATTTACCCAGATCTCCACCACCCAGATCTACCAAGATCTACCAAGATCTCCACCACCCAGATCTCCACCACCCAGATCTCCACCACCCAGATCTCCACCACCCAGATCTCCACCACCAAGATCTCCACCACCCAGATCTACCCAGATCTCCACCACCCAGATCTCCACCACCCAGATCTCCACCACCCAGATTTCCACCACCCAGATCTCCACCACCCAGATCTCCACCACCCAGATTTACCCAAATCTCCACCACCCAGATCTCCACCACCCAGATTTACCCAAATCTCCACCACCCAGATCTCCACCACCCAGATTTACCCAGATCTCCACCACCCAGATCTCCACCACCCAAATCTCCAGCACCCAGATCTCCACCACTCAGATTTACCAAGATGTCCACCACCCAGATTTACCCAGATCTCGACCACCCAGATCTCCACCACCCAGATCTCCACCACCCAGATCTCCACCACTCAGATTTACCAAGATGTCCACCACCCAGATTTACCCAGATCTCCACCACCCAGATTTACCCAGATCTCCACCAACCAGATCTCCACCACCCAGATTTACCCAGATGTCCACCACCCAGATCTACCCAGATCTCCACCACCCAGATCTCCACCACCCAGATCTCCACCACCCAGATTTACCCAGATCTCCACCACCCAGATGTCCACCACCCAGATTTACCCAGATCTCCACCACCCAGATCTCCACCACCCAGATCTACCGAGATCTCCACCACCCAGATTTCCACCACCCAGATTTCCACCACCCAGATCTACCCAGATCTCCACCACCCAGATCTCCACCACTCAGATTTACCCAGATCTCCACCACCCAGATCTCCACCACTCAGATTTACCCAGATCTCCACCACCAAGTTTCCACCCAGATCTCCACCACCCAGATTTACCCAGATCTCCACCGACCAGATCTCCACCACCCAGATCTACCCAGATCTCCACCACCCAGATCTACCCAGATCTCCACCACCCAGATCTACCCAGATTTCCACCACCCAGATCTACCCAGATCTCCACCACCCAGATCTCCACCACTCAGATTTACCCAGATCTCCACCGACCAGATCTCCACCACCCAGATCTACCCAGATCTCCACCACCCAGATCTACCCAGATCTCCACCACCCAGATTTACCCAGATCTCCACCACCCAGATCTACCCAGATCTCCACCACCCAGATCTACCCAGATCTCCACCACCCAGATTTACCCAGATTTCCACCACCCAGATTTCCACCACCCAGATCTACCCAGATCTCCACCACCCAGATCTCCACCACCCAGATCTACCCAGATCTCCACCACCCAGATCTACCCAGATTTCCACCACCCAGATTTCCACCACCCAGATCTACCCAGATCTCCACCACCCAGATCTCCACCACCCAGATCTACCCAGATCTCCACCACCCAGATCTACCCAGATCTACCCAGATCTCCACCATCTGTAGAATACGTCTTCAGCAACCCATGCTTGCCACAAGAGGCGACTATGATGTCAATCACTAAATGGTCTGGTCCAGACTCAATTATTTACAGACCGCCATCATATAACTGGAATATTGCTCAGTGTGGCGTTAAACAAAAAAAAATTCAATAAACCAATGACCAATCTAGGTCACCTGATGAGTTCGACAGTAGCCGTTTGGTCCTTGGTCACTTGGTCACATGATCACCGAATGGAGAAAAATCCAGTATCACTTACCTTTTCCGCAACAACTTTATTCACTGTATGATTTTGATATGCAGAAAATATTCTGAAAGTGACCTAAGACCTAAGCGTGTAAAGTGATCATGTTTTATTTCTTACAATGTTTCAAACATCTGGTTTGTGAGGGTTTTCTCTCATCGGGAAATAGAAACATTTTCATTAAGATACTATCAGTCACAGCATTTAGATGTTAATTTAGTTTAGGAATTGCCTTCAGTCTGACACTGAGCTTAATCTTTATGAATTGTGAAACAGGGACTTGAACTGCTGTACCATCCACTTCCTGGAGCATTTGCTGGCTGGCAGTAGCAGTAATTAACTCAGCTCTTTCTTTTAAATCTGTCGAAAGAGGTGATTTGTGAGTGAGTATGGTTTTATGCCGCTTTTAGCTATATTCCAGCAATATCACGGCGGGGGACACCAGAAATGGCCTTCACACATTGTACCCATATCGGGAATCGAACCCGGGTCTTCAGCGTGACAAGCAAACGCTTTAACCACCAGGCTACCCAACCGCCCCTAAGCGTGACAAACAAGATCGGATGGTCAGGCTCACAGTCTTGGCTGATGCATGTCATTGTATCCAAAAAGTTTGTGGATTGATGCTCATGATGTCAATCACTGGATTGTCTGGTCCAGACTTGATTATTTAGAGACTGCCATCGTATAGCTGGATCATTGCTGAGTGCGGCGTTAAACAACAAACAATCAAACAATTAATGCCCTGCTGATCAAGACTTCAGTATAAGCATATAAAATATTTTGTGATTCTTTGGTGTGAGGTGACAGCCAGCATCACTCCCTGCCTTCAGTGTTGGCCAGAGGCACACATTCAACTGAAGCCTGCTTACAGAGCTAGTTATGTAAACACTAGTTGTGTGACAAGCATTTCCTGAATGTATCTCTCACTGGCCTTCATCGTGGATGTATTTACACTTGACGGAATATTCCTGACAACTAGTCCTAGATAAAGATAATGAGTGTTTGTCTGTGAAGGGATACATCATAGGTGTGGCGAAGCAGATGAAATTCACGACTTACGATGTTGTGGCATTTTCTGGTTCAAGGTTAGAGTGAGGTGCTGGCATAGAGTCTCTGTTGTTTGGCAAGAATGGTTCAAGGTTGGAGAGGGGGGCACGGGTGGCCCAGTCTTCTAAGGCGCCACGATTCTCTGTGCAGAGTTGCGTCCCTTGGGCACTCCAGAAACCTATGATTGTGGGTTCGAATCCCAGTTCGCCCCGATTATGTTTCTAGGTTTGTCAGCACCATACCTGTGCTCGTGGGTTTCACAGAAGTGGTAAATGTCTGAGACCTACATCACTTCAAGCTTTCTTCCCACATTAAGCTGACACGCCATGACATAACTGGAATACTGTTAAAAGCGGTGTTAACCCCAACTCACTCACTCACTCTGTCAAGGTTAGAGTGAGTGAGTGAATATGGTTTTACGCCGCTTCAAGCAATATTCCAGCAATTTCACGGCGGGGGTCACCAGAAATGGGCTTCACACATTGTACCCATGTGGGGAATCGAACCCGTGTCTTTGGTGTGACGAGCGAACGCTTTAACCACTAGGCTACAAGGTTAGAGTGAGGTGCTGGCATCGACTCTCTGTTGTTGGGCAGGAATGGTACACCATGAGTCAGTGCATTCAATATGTTGTACCTTGATCATAATATGAGAACTGAAATGCCAACCATCCAGATTTGAGGGGTGGAGGTGGGTTTTTTTCAAATTCCAATTTTTACAATAAAATCTCTTATTTTTCTACAACAAAATATATCTTCAGAATTCCCCCTAAACCACTTTGTATATTTTCTGCTTTAGACAAGTTTGTGACCTTTAGATGAATATAAGAAGTATCAGCTGGGGAGCAATGAAACAGGTCTTGCACACTTTGATACATATTTGAAAGCCCGGGACACTGAACAGTCTTTGTGACAGAACCCATTCAGTTTATAATAGTGCATGGCAGGTTATGGCAAATTTTGTGCTATACAAACAAACGGTCAACACTTGGGCTTATCATGGATATGGGGCACGCCACGCCCTCCCACTCCTCATCACCTTCTCCTGTTTCCAAGAGTCTCAAGATGACTTCAACCTTAGGGATCCCTAGAGTCAAGTACCACAGCAGCAACCAATGGATAACACTGTCAGAGTAGATCCTGATGTTGACGTGTCGGTAAATGTTTAATGTTGATGCTGCATCGATACAAATTAAGAGTATCTATACTCACTTCTTTCAGTGGCATTTAGAAGTTGGTGTGATGAAGAAAGACAAGTTCTATGGATGAACAACTTCTTTATTACAATTAGTGCACTAGAACTTGTCTTTCTTCATCTATATTCAATTAATAATTCATTGCCACAGAAGCTATTTATTAAGATGGGACAATAAGAAGGCATCAATTAGTATGGTACATAGTACATGCTTCAATTTTCTCTATCTAGTCGGGAAAAAACAGGGGGGCATGACTTTAAATTGTGGTTCTTTTTACTGCACGCGCGCGTGTGTGTGTGTGTGTGTGTGTGTGTGTCTGTGTCTGTGTCTGTGTCTGTGTCTGTGTCTGTGTCTGTGTCTGTGTCTGTCTGTCTGTGTGTGTGTGTGTGGCTGTGGCTGTGTGGCCAAATCACCTAAAGTATTGCAATTTGCCCCATAGTAGTGGTAAACTTCTAAGACCTGCATATTTTCGGGCTTTCCTCCCACATGAAGCTCACACGCCATGATGTGACTGAAATATTGTTTTAAGCTTAATTAAACCCAACTCACTCACTCAAAACCCTACACGTGCTTGAAACAAAGTTCTCAAGAACTGATGAAAGTCAGAGGGATGGGATACATCAGCTAAGAGGAATATAAGACATTTCTTTCATTTGCAGCCCTAAGGACAAACATAGAATTAGCTCAATATATGAATGGTCTGGCTCGTTGACTTGAAGTTAAATATTTATGCCGGTAATCATATTGGGAGACAAGAAAGTAGACGTGGGCTGAAGCATGGCATGAAATTAGGACACTTTTGAAGATGTTCATTGAAGGCCATGTTCCTTTACTGACTGAAGAACTTTACTAAACTACAGTACATACAGGTAGAAATTAACCTAGCAAGTGTACTAGCCGGAATAGTGATAACGGCAGTGTACCCAAAGGCATGTTAGGATTATAGTGATAGTGGCTCAATGGGCTAGTCACGCTTTCCATGTTTTGAAGGTACAAAATATTTTAGTAGTTTAGTGATTTTTGATATATCTATCCTGTTTTGGGGGATTGGGGACTAGAAATGAACATGTTTAAGATTGTAGAGAATGTTTAATTTGAGGATTTCATATTACACTGGAATCCTGTGTATTTGACATGATTTTCATCCCAAATGCTTCCGGTCATATGTTTAATGAGTCATCTGATGCAAGATGTTTTTGTCAGTCAGAACTACTTACTGTGCTAAACTGTTTCCAGGTGTGTATTAGTAGTTAGAAGCCGGACAGACAGATATGTGTATTAACATCTCACTCAAGGGTACAGCAGATATATAAAAATAAACAATAAAAAATAGTCATTTCCGGAAAATATTGTAAAATACCCATGACCATTTGAAGCGTTTTTTTAGAGAAAGTCAAAATTTTCATTTGACTATGTTAAAACCCATAAACCCATAAGATGTAATTCATAGCACATTGCAAATTACTTGTGTAAAATATATGGCCGTTGGCATGGTACGGCATGGAAGGTCCTGACAATGTGAAAGGTTAAATATGGGCTTACAAAGAAGTAATACTTTTTTTCTTGGTTTGTCATATTATTAAGTGAGTGAGTTTGGTTTAACGCCGCTTTTAACAGTATTCCAGTTATATCATGGCGTGTCAGCTTAATGTGGGAGGAAAGCCCGAAGTGATGCAGGTCTCAGACGTTTACCACTTCGGTGAAACCCACGAGCACGGGTATGGTGCTGACAAACCTAGAAACATTATCGGGGCGATCCGGGATTCAAACCAACAATCATAGGTTTCTGGCGTGCCCAGGGGACGCAACTCTGCACAGCGAATTGCAGCGCCTTGCAATACAACAAAGAAAGCAGTCACAATATAATGAAACCAATGTATTAAAGGCTATAGGCCGGTGTGTGTTGCATTGTTGCACAGTGTATTGATGTCTATAGGTTTTTGTGTGTTAATGAATATAGAAGCTGTCAAGTTATTATTGTTGACTTATTTATTTTTGAGAACTGACGCTGCATTTTGCTGTGAATGCTGTGATATCAGTGAAATACTGTTCAAAGTGGTATTAAACTCAACTCACTCACTCACTTAGCAAAAATGTCACCAAGTAATTACACTGTATGTGCAAAGCTGTGATGCAGGTCTCAACTGTTAGACCAGGACTTAAGACTGACAAGTTGTTTTACATTACGTCTTTTTTGGAGAGTTTGTGTTGTTTTAACATGTTAAATAGTGATGAGATGTATGTTTTCTAACCCCAGGGGTTTTGTATAGTCTGGGAGGTAAATTCAGATGTTTCGATAATACTTTCATTCAAGAATATATACTTTATGTAGTCTCTGAAATGAAAATATTTGAAACTTCTTTGGGTTAAATTGTCCTTAGATATTTAATAGACAGGGTCCCAGATAATCTCTATATTTTCAGTCTGAAAGAAATCTAGACTTGGCTAGTATTGTAGACTTGCTTTGGAGTTTATTGGATATGTTTGTATCAAATGTGTCAGATCTGTTTGTTACT